CCAATCTGGTCGCGGTACCAGCGGCAAAATGCCAAACGTGGATCATAGTCCGCTTGTAACAGCTCCTGCGTTCTTTGAAAATGGTATGGGTGCTGGCCATCATCCCGTAGCACACGCCACACACTCATATGGTTCACACCACCAAAGGCTGCCGCAGCACGACGAGTACTTGTCTTTGGATTGCCGAGAAAATGTTCCAAAACATCTGCCTCGAATTCTGGGTCTCGTGAACTCGGCCGGCCTTCAGAACTGGAACCACGGAACGATCCACTATTATGAAGTCTCATAACCATCTTCCTGAAGCATTCCAGAGTAGGAAATGGTCGACGTCGATTTTCTGGGACGCCATCAATAAACTTTGCCCAATACATTTGGCGAGCCTGGCGCAAGCTCCCATCGGCTGCGCCTACGCACAACATCATCTCATAGTAATCACTATTGCTTAAGCGTGACATAGTTTAAATAAACACAAAAACGAGACACAAACAAAACGATGACACCTATTTAGTCCTCACAACGCAAACGGCAATTACAGACTGTTACAAAAAATAAAAAAATAGTGCCTCTGCCTTAGCGGCGGCACATCAAAGGACGCCGACTGAAACGCAAATTTTGGAATATAGGGTAACGTTTTCATAATGTACCTACAGGATGAAATTAAAATTATTACCATCCTTTTAAAATAAGACCCTTCTCATGATACAAATTACATCATTACATACACATTAAACGAATACCTATATCCTACGTATCTACGACCTTCAACTTTTGTAAACATAACTCTGACCATCACCCGTACCACTTCCACACAACGCAAGAACTGACTGGGTGATTACGGATATACTGCACTAAGGAGGCAGTCACCCATCGGAAACCCACGACATCCGAAACGAAAGCCTAACACACTAACCACTACACCATGGAGGCAGTCAACTATGGGAATCAAATCCACGACCGCCGAAACGAAAGCCTAACACTCTAACCTACACCATAGAGCCAGTCAACTATGACATTCGAATCCACGACCTCCGAAACGAGTCTAACATTAATTCACTACTCCACATCACGATGTATAAAATCAAATGCTGGCGGCGAAAATCAAAGGTGATATTTTTGCCGCCAAAGTTGCCGCCAAAGGCTTGTGACTTCGCTACGATTACGTATCGCGTACGCAAGGCGACTAATCTTGATACTTTGTTTATTTAGGTAAGATTTTTTATGGTTTTACACTATTGCTAATTTAAACTATTCTAAAATATTTCTTTAGATGAGTAGATATTATTAGGAAGTAAGAACCTTAATAGGTTCAACGGATGTTAATTATTTCAATTTCACCATGTAATAAACCCATACACAGAAAGTTGTCGTGTGTAGATAAGTCAAATTAAGCGTAAACCTGTTGTTAGAAACGTGTGCTCAGCAATAGACGTATGTAAGTTAGTAAAGTACTATTTTTTGCACAAGGTTTAGTCCACTACACTTGCATAGTAAGTAATGGTTGGAGACTTGACATTCTCGCATCTTTGAAGATTTCGGCAATTATCTCCGAAATCCAAGTTTTCTCACGATATTTTCATTTCCAAGCAAGTGATGAAAATTATAATAATTAATTCGTAGTCAACGATCAAAACTAATTTCTTGACGTTTGCCGACCTTCAGGTTGCAGCTTTACGATGAAAGTGTCCCAATACAAAATTTCAACTTTTTGGGAATACGCAAAATAAGATTCAAGTTGTGACATTTTCATATTATTTTATTTATTACTCTTGAAGTACTAAAGGTGATGGCCTTATTAGTCTTTGAAAATAATGAGGAAAAATGGAACTTTACAACTGAAAATTGTTTCTGATCATTTTAATGTTCAACAATTTAAAAACATAATTTACAAAAACTAGTCGCCAATAGGTCTTTTTTTAACGATTTTTTTGTTATCATTCAACGTATTAAGAATTAAGTCTTTTTAATGTTCATCAGCTAAGCAAGATGTCATAACCCTTGATATTGTTTTGTGATCCCTGTTTCACAATTAAAAAAGAAGAAAGTCCACGAAACAAAAAAGTCAGTCCCTTTAAAAAGTAAGTTACTAAAAAAATATATTTTTTTTAAATATTAAGCGACGGGTCGAACAAGTCGTGTACCCGGTGGAAAGCGTCACGCCTGTCCATAACAGTAGCACTGCCGCTCGAAGGCTACTGCTACGGCGTTCATCTCTCTGAGACATAGTTGACAAGTCCCATGTGCCTGTAATTTCACCAGCACCCTTACCCTTCAAAACTGTAACACGGTAAAGTGGCAGTACTACCCTGGACGAACTCACAAGGAGCTCTACTGCTACTAGATTTTTTTTCGACGATTTTTGAATATGATTTTCGGAACGAAAATGGCTCAAATGCTAATCCGTCAGTGGCAGCGTGTTGTCTTTGCAAATGCAGATTCAACAATAAATGCGGCGTTAATATCTCGACGCGGGAGTAGAATTTTTAAACTGAAAGAACAAAATGAAAGGGACCTTTATGAATCAGTGCTATTCGAGCTTTAATTGCACAATTTCATCTTCACCACAGTGTGACTAATGTAACAAAATATTTTTTTAAGATGGTTTTACGGTATAAACTCATTTTTAAATTTTTTGATTTGGGTCACTTTCATTGTAAGGGTGCGAAGTATTAGTCGGATAATTGCGTCATATTGCGTCATGCGTTAGAAGAAACATACCGACTGATTCGCTAGCTGCTATGCGTTAGAACAGTACCGGCGCGGCGGATAGAAAGAGACAAATTTCATTCATTAAAATACAATAGATGAATGCGTATTATTACATATGATATGGTAAAAAGAAACAGAGATAACTTTAAATATGTGTTTTTTAGAGGACATTAGTTTTATTAATGGATATTAAATGGAAATTTGTGTATTTTGTATGTTTGAAGATATGAAGATAACGAAACCATATTACGTTATTATGTACTAAGTTTTAAATAATAGTTTTATTATGAAGTAGTGTATTTTGGCAAAGTAATCGATAATATTTATTTTTCATTAAATGTTCACACGCATATTACATGAATAAAATAATAATAAATTTAGTAAATTATAACATAGTAATAAGAATATGGCATTAAGTACTTTATCATTTACAATAATATGCCTGAATTTCACAATTTTTTCAAGTTACGTAATTTGGTTGTATTATGATACTCAATAGAGATGTGATGTGACTATTTATTTTCGTTAAATGACATCAGCTGATCGAAACTGTTCATGGCGAAATTTCCACAAATAACGTAGTGTGTACTAAAACAACTTTGCTAACTAGTTTCATACCATTAACTGAATCCGACCTTCAAATATGACCACACCTTTCTGTTACACCCTGTATAGATATGAATATATTTAGAGGAACGCAACAAAGATTTAATTCATAACAACCTTCATATGAACCACGGACCACATTCATATACCAGAACGTTACTTCAATAATCTTTTGAGTCAAGGCACTAACAAGGTTGGGTCATTTTCAGGTAAGTTTTTTGTACTCAATTTTGGTGACAATTTCTTTTTATTTAAATATTTGTGGAATATCATCATGAAGTATTATTTAATATCCGAGTGTGGTAACCTGAAATATTCTTTAATATTTCACGATGATATATTCGAGTAATTAAATAATAAAAATTGTCACCAAAATTGAGTACATACCTACAAAAAACTTACCTGAAAATTACTGAGTTATCATTATTTATCCTTTTTTTAGCGTCGTGTAAATACGTCCTCGAGTGTACTTATAATCGATGTTCTATACTCATAAATAAATTTACAAAAAATTAATTAAAGAATAAAAGATTTAAATATACATATTAATTAGCATAATGGCATAAAATAAATTATTTAATAAATATCAACGCTGTTTCTCTTTAGCCGACACGATTTATTTCATTTGTATTAACCTCGAATTAAAATACTCATTTAACTACAGAAAGCAATGCGACTAACGCTGTTCAACTTTACACTAAGGCTCAATTTCCAATGCCGTGGAAGGGTATGGAAGCGATTTATGAGAACCATAGCATTAAGAACTTTATGTCGATTGTGTAATGTATAAGTTTTTTTATAAATATTATCAGTACAGAGAACTAAAAAAACCGATCTCAAAAATTCCTTCCCTAGTTTGCCACCCTTAGAGGTGAAATACTTTCTTTAAATTTAAATGGACCACATCTGAGGTACCCTCTTTCCAACAAAAAAAGAATCATCAAAATCGGCTTACAAATGCCGCGGAGTTATCACGTAACATACATAAAAAAATACAGTCCAATTACGAACTTCTTCGCCTCTCGGAAGGTAGCAATTCTCTAGGAGAATTCTCGCGCAGTCTCGGAAGTTCCCGCAGTTACCGTGTCGTATCTAGTACGTGCGTTACGATATTGACGTAAAGTTCATTATACTGTGCACAATTTTGTTACAAAAATTAACTTCCATACCGTGCCGCGGTACGGTAAATAGAGTTAAACAGGGCACGCTTTTCACTATGCATGTTTTTTTTGCGTCTACCAGTTTGCTCTGTTTCTGTGTCTAATGCTAACCGTCTTAAAATTCTGCATCACTCCGTCACCACAGGATTACCGACTTCGGTCGAACAGTGTCGTCTGGATTTTTTCAACACAGGATAACAATCTTCAAAATAAAAAGTAAAATATCCCCACCTTGCAATTCTGTAGTAAAACTCGATTTACGACAAGAATCTAGTTGTTCGGGTGCTTTCTGGCTCCGCTGCCTCGTGAGAGAGAGAATCCGACTTTAATTTGTTACTGAAAAATCCGAAGTTTCTAGCAAACATCTGGTACCTATCATTGTACTATTAAAATTTCGGAATAAGAAACCTACATCGACAGAGATAAAGAAGAACAATATCTTAACAAGTAGTGTAACCATGATTCATCCAGTAAGATGTATGCGTGACGGATCGCATTAAACGAGGCTTAAATATTTATTTACAAAGAGGGTACATTTATGATATTTATCGAACGAGAAATCGCCAGAGCGCTAGTGTGGTCGCCATTTATTCCAGTGCTTCGCGACGAATAGTTTTAATTGTGATTAAAAATGTCTCCAGATGTAATTTATTTTATATTACTTCTCAGTCCAGGTAAATTTACGTTTATTAAAGCTACTATATTGGAATTTTTTAAAAGATCGTACAATTAACATGTCGAACCGCTAATTTGAAAAAATACGACCATGCGGTTTCGCAGAACGATTGTAATAAAAATGCAATTAAGTTTAGTTTAAATGCTATTAAAATATTTCGGATCTTACAAGGCGTATTATTCTATAATTTTGTTTCTCATTGTGCTTTATTGTTTGTGGATTCTGCCACTTTCTACATTGAGCTAGTCCAGTGAGCTATAAAACGAAAATTATCGAAATTTACTTTCAAGGTTTTATTCAATTTTGTGCTTACAACAATATCACAAAATGGAAACATGAATGGTTCAAATTATATTTACAAAATATATTATCAGGTGAGATTTTTTACGCCCCATTCTCTGCAGTGACAAAATAAACTTACGATTGTTCAATTTAACAGTTTTATCGAGAACTTTACCGCGTTTCGAGGAATTGGATGAAGACGAGCAACACCTATTCCGAGCTGCTTACGACGCGCCATCTTACAATCAACAGGAGTATGGAGAAGAAGACCTTTCAATTGGGAAATTAGATCTCGTTAAGGATGGTCTATGGATGCTAAAGGCTAAGGTCAAGGAGTTAAAAGCTTTCGACAAAGCCTTAGCAGCAAATATGTTAGCTACTAAATTAAAACTGAAGGAATTGCTCAAGAAACAGTTGGTAGTTGCGAAGAAACCTCATTACGAAAAGCCCAGTTACAATTACCAGGCACCAAGTTATCAGGTATCGATTCTTTACGTATTTTTATCTATTCTTTTTCTGTATAACCATACACTGTAATGTTTGCCACCATGGTGAAAGGATTTGCCATGGATTTGCCAATCGACTTAAAATACTCGCCGATTATTGCCCAGAAAGCGCCAGACTTATAAGAAAAGAATGGTCGCTGTGAGGGGAAACTCCTTTTGTTTACCCTATTTTTTTATCTATTAATAAATATCTATTATGTTGTTGACGTGTTTATGTATCTACGTGCTAAATTATCTAGTTGTACAATGCATTTATTGCACTATAAACTAATAAATTAAGTACTTAGGTAGGTAGGTAAACTAAATTAATAAATAATATCTAAAGCACTTAGAGATATTAATTGTAACGTGCAGAATTTAACTTGAAAACTTGCTTTGCCCTCTTTCTTCCGCATTACGGTTCTTATCGAGATCACGGTAGACAGTAATCACAAAACATAAAGATGAATTTATTTATATTAAAAAAAAAACATGATTACAAACGCAAGTGAAGGTATCTTTAACCCTACAGCATGTACTTATTAGACCGCTTATTATCGCTTACATTTTTATAGACTTCTTATTCATTACTAGAGGTTAAAATAGTTAACTGTTTTGGTATAGTTGTCGTGGAAACAAGTTAAATTGTATTGATTTGCTTCACACGAATGCGACGTGATTATGATTGACTTTTTAAAAGCATTTTTACACTATACGATCCGATATCGAATTATCTAAACGTTGCAAATAGTCTCGCATGTTCTGTGGTTATTTCGTTGTAATTGCACACTTGATTATGCTATACAAATTTTCACTTCAAATTATAACGCTATACATTTAAATGAAGTAGGATACTATTCTCGACAAAGAATTTCGATATTGTGTATCTTTAGTTGTCGCCTTTACAGTTTTCGTATGTTTTTGTGTTTCGTTGACGTATGTGTAAATGCTACTATTTTTAACCGCCTTCAAAAAAAGGAGGAGGATTTCAATTCGACTGTATTTTTTTGTATGAATGTTACGCGATAACTCCTTTGTGAACCGATTTTGATGGTTCTTTATTTGTTGGAAAGAGGGTAGGTACCTCAGTAGTGGTCCCGTTTAAATTTGAAGAAAATATTCCACCTCTAAGGGTGACGAACTAGGGGATGAGTCCGGTTGCGCGCACTGTCCGGTAACCGACTTCAATAAAACTTGGCAAATAGTTATAATTCCACGAACTTTTGAGGTCGGTGTTTTTAGTACTTTGTACTGAGATTATTATAAAATATTTTCATTTTTTTATAATATCACGTGATGGGACGAACCAGCGTGCGCCTGGTGGTATGCGATACGCCTATCCATGAACAGTGCCACTCAGAGTTTTAACTCGCAAAGATCACTGGCATGGCACATGGGCAATGCCACTGCACCCGTCACCCTATGGCATAAGTTGACAAGTCCCATCTGCCTGTAATTCTCACATTACTGCTTGGCGGTGGTTACAGTACTTCCCAGAACAAACTCTTTCTCAAGGAGCTCTACTGTTACTGAAGTTTCATCTAGAACGCAGGGGTGCACGAAATTCTGTACGTCTGGTGCACCCTGGACAACAATCAGCGAGTAAACGTCAATGATGACAAGCAAGTGTATGCCATCGATACATTTAGAAGATCTAGAACCCAGATGAGAGTTGAGCACAGATGGGTTCTAAGCGAGTTATGGCCTCGCCTTATTATGTCACAATGTTTGTTGCACCGAAATCGAATCGGATAGTGTTAAAACGCTCTCAGACCACTTTTATGTGTATCGACATTGAGTCGACTACCTCCTTGGCCTAGTGGTTCAACCACGGATATAGAGGTTGCAAATTCAAATCACAAGGACAGTTAACGAGGGTCCATTTACACTTAAGTGTTCGACTGCACACAGACTCCTATCCTTATCTTTTTCTCTCGTACCTATTGATATTTTTACAGTAATGTTAAATATGTAAATATCTTAAAATCTACTAATTAACATGTCTTGATAGTATTCGTACCGTGAGTTTTAAATTATTATTTGCATAAAATTATATAATTTACAATACTAAAAAATCCGACCTCAAAAGTTTGCTTATCAGTTTTCGCTGTGTTTTTTTGTCGTTGGAATTACATCTATGTGCCAAGTTTACATGAAATCGGATAACGGGGTGAAATTCAATAAACCGGATTCATCTTCTAATTTTCCACCCTTAGAAGTGAAATATTTTCTTCAAATTTGTAAAGTAATATAACTTTAAAAGTTAAAAAAATTAATACAAAAATTATAAAATAAGACTTTATATAGGTTTTTTTTTTCGCGACGAGAGGTTTGTTTATTTAATCATGTTTAAATAAATTGTATAACTCACTATTGTATAGTTACTATATATTATATAGTATATCAGCTAAGATATCAGTACTTAACCTTGCTGTGAACCAGAAACATGTTCTTTAGGTTTACTAATTAATGCTATTAATGTTTATTTCTCAGTACTCAACACTTACTTTTGCATAGAGAAATAATACGTAATATCCAAGGTTTCACTTACCAATACGAACAACTTATACAATGGGTTCGCATTGTTCCTTCAGATTTTTTTTTATTTTTATATATTTATTCACTCATCTTACAATAATTTATTATCTAAGTACTTGGCAATTTTAAACCTAAAGGGTTTGTTCGAGTGTAGCTCTATTCGTAATATTTATACACACATAATCTATAAGAATATGTGTAAGTAGAAAACAAATTTTGTTTATACAGGATATAAGTAATACAAATAAACGTACACATAGACAGAGCGCGTCACAAATAGTAACAAAAAGAGTAAAACAATATTGTGATATTTAACAATCTGAATAAATTAAATATAAATAATTATAATGAAATATAAATAACTATAACTACCTTTCTCTAGTACCTAATTAAGGTTAAGGTAATAACTTACCAAAATAAAATGGGCAAGTACTTTTGTAACTGACACATGATATGTTTCTGTACATATTACAGGCACCAGCGTACCCACAGCAACAGTACGAGCCACAGTACCCCGCCCCACAGTACGCAGTACCCCAGACCCCACAGTACGCGGTACCCCAGGCCCCTCAGCCACAATACGCTCATGATCCTTACTATGGACACTAAATCTTGTACTACCCCTGTAATGCCTACAGTATATACCAAAATTATTTTTTAGTCTCTAAAATATCAAATAAGTACTCTCTCTACATTCTTTTGTTTAAAGAAAAAGAGTTGAAATATGCAACAAATAATTTTCCATGTTTTTTTAATTGTTATTAATTTATAAATATATATACAACGCATTAAACATTATTTTATAACAAATCCTCTTTTTTTTGTAGAATGATAATAACAAATTAATAAAAGTATCATTGAAATAGATCAAGTCTTTTGTGCTATGCACTAACAAACGTAACAAGAAAGTGCATTAATATAATAAAATCTTAATTGGGAAGGTCACTATGAACTGTTGAGTGGCGTAGTTGACCGCTGCGTGCGCGCACTTCGCACGTGTACTAGAAGCGAATCGCTTTACGCTAAGAAGTTCTCGCTTAGTTTTACACTTGTGTTTAGGGGCGCTAAAGTTTGTAATAAAATTAACAATAAACATAAAATAATTTTCTAAAATTACGTTCTGAGAAACTGTGGTCATGTACTTATTAATACAGTAGCATTATTGTTTGCGTGATCCAGTATCCGACGAAATGAGGAATAATCGTGTATGGATTTTGTTTTTGGTACGTATTATTTTATCTCTATTGTCATAAACCCATACGTACGACACACTGCTGGACACAGGTCTCCTTCAAATAGACAATGATGTACACAGTACACAATGTCTCCATTTTTTTGTATATTGCAACTTATTTCGTTAATATCTTTTCTAGACTTCTAATGTTCTTTTCCATTTACATCGGTGCTGCCATTAATTACTATAATTAGATACCTAGTTCAGCATGCTAACTACAAATAAAAACAAAGTAATTGACTTGTTTATTGGCATAATCATTTTTATAGCATTATTAAAAAATCTAATCCGTCAATAACTTTGAGCGAGTTTTCTTGCGTAATAGTACTTGAGCGATAATTTTATTTTGTTGTTTCTTTCATACGTGATAATACCTCTTTATTTCTGCTGCAAACTAGTGCATATAGAAAATTCTTTTTATCTGTAGTTTTCAATACAAGTAGGTACTTACCTCTATGTATAAGAAGACTATTTTCCATAATAATTTTAACAATCCCGATCCCTGTTAAAACTGTTCCGCAAAGATATTGACAAAGAAAATGATGTGGAAGATCATTGTAACTCCTATAATAACAGAATTACTCTACTAAATTACTTTAAGCGGTTTAAAAAAGGGTTTATTAACCTATGACGACCTCCGTGGTCGAGTGGCTTGCACACCGGTTTTCATGGTGTCGCTAACTCTGAGGTCCCGGGTTCGATCCCCGACCAGGTCAATGTAGAAACTAACTTTTCTGTATTGTCTCTGGTCTGGGTGTTTGTGTTGCCGTCATTATTTCCGATTTCCAAAACACAAGTGCTTTAGTTACTTTGGGATCAGAACAACGTATGTAATGGTATCTAATATTTATTTATTATTATTTAAGCCAGTCGATAAGTAGGCCAGGATGTTGTAACATGATGTTATAATGAAGTTAGCTAGTATACCTAGTTAGTGTACCTAGATTATAACATTTAAATGTCGCCCATGTCAGAATACCATATTTATACAGAATGAATGAATGAATGAAATATTCTTTACTGCACATACAGTGACAGTTAAAATACAACACAATAGCTTAAGTATAATAGTAGTAGAAGTTAATTTGAAACAGGCAGCCTTATCGCTAAGTAGCAATTTCTTCCAGGCAACCTCAGAATAGATAGCATTTGGGATATGCAAAAGGGGTGCAACCAAAGAATATCATCAGAAGTACAGGGTCATGAGCACGTCAAGTTTGACACTTAAGACTTAAATCCAAATGCCGTTTACGATAAGTACGGTCCAAAGCACAGTGTCAAGTTTGACGTGCTCTTGACTGTACACTACATAATAAGTAATAATAAAAATATATACATATATAGATATTATGTATACACATACATAGAAATAATATTAATACATATATAACAATAAATAAATAATGATTGATATAAAATGCTTATATACTTTTAAAGGAAAAAGAAAAATGAAGTATAAATATATGAAAGGATAGTAGAGAAGAGACAACATTTTGGATTTGAGGATGTGATCCTTGACATGTTGTTCTAAGGAATCAAGAGTAGGGGAACGTCGAATCGATTCAGGGAGAGAATTCCACCAGAAACGGTAAAAGTACAGATAATATTATCTTTAAAAAAACCCAGTTGGTAATAAACATTGCTTCAGCCTTCATTCAAAACTTAATTCAGTAATGCTTTCTGTAAGTGTAAAAATAATATTATAATTAGTACGTACTCAAACCGGAATCGCTTAAAACAAGTAGGTAATCGAGTAGGTAATGTACCTTCTATCCTGTTAAAAAGACTTCGAAATAGGCAGGGTTGGAATATATCAAGCCGCTGCTGTATACTTGACCAATTTCCTGCCCAAGAATTTAATTCTAAAACCTACCGACTTATTATTTGATCATAATATATTATTAGATATTTATATTTAGAAAAAAATTACATTTTTTTTCCAAAATCGTGACGCACGTATGTCGGTAGGACGCATATTTTCGAATTTATAATATTGTGTGATATGTAACACCTACGGAGTCGTTTTGTTGTCGAAAAACTACGTCATAGTTAACATCTGCGGGTCTTCGTGATAGAGATGTCATGTGAATCTTTTGAGAAATATACAAAATTCAAATTTCATGAGCCCGGTTATATGTACATACATGTTCAGTTTTAGTTTAGTTAAAACGTTAGACTTAAATGTGAATATTTAATTAGACGGTGGATTTTTTATGATTTTTATTTTTGCTCACGAATCCTTTATTGCGTGTATCTGCATTATTCAGATCTTAGAATAATAACGCATAGAAACCTAGCCCGCGCACGCTAAGTGAGGCAAATTGTAGGACGCCCTATGGGCTTACACGAGCGAGCGGGCTGTCAGTGCTCAAGCTCAAGTTCAACCGCGAGCAGCTCAAAAATTATTGCTAAAAATGACGAAATGTGCGGTAATTGGGTTTAAAAATAGATCAGACAAATATAAAATAGACACTAACATCACATTCCACAAGGAAGTAACGCGTTTCAACTTGTATTTTTATGTAAATATTCACTAAAACAGAAAATTAATTTCGTTGCAACAAGATACAAAAATGTTGCAAAGTACCGGGTTTTTTTCTCCCCATTTTGCTATTCTGTTTCAAAATAATTATATTACGTAATTTTTTGAGAATAGGCAATATCGCGATGGTTGCAAAATTTCTACAAATGTAAACCGCCGCAACAACATTGTAGGGAATTTACGTTAGCTATTTTTACGAAATATATTTAGTGTTTGCCTTCATTAGTTTCATGTGAAAAATCATTATTCTTGTTCATCATACAATCATTTAAAAAAATTGTCTTGCCCAGACTCAAAAGTTCTTAACTAAAATTATTTCAGGAAACTAACACTGACTAAAAATCATCGGCAGTTCTCCAAAATCGTGTATAAATAACTTTCAGGTTCAGGTTCTTATTGTTATCGTGTACTTTTCATGTAAACATACCCAAAGATAATATCAGGCTATTTATATATTCAAATTCGATAGTCGCACTTAAACTCGCTTGTAGGTTTTTGTTCATATATGAGTTAAATAAAAATTGAGTAGTATTTAATAAGGTGCCTACAGATTTGCTCGACATTGTCGATCGACAGTAACGATTGAGAATTATAGACGTTTTCGAGGAGTTTTAGAGTGCTTATTACGAATGTAGCATTAATTTCTAAATCCAAGATGGTTGACAACAATTTTCAAAAACGTATTTTTGGTAAACCATAAGGAAATGGCATGTATATCTGAAAACAAGATGGGGACAAGACTTCTAATTCTTCTTCTAATTCTTTGCCATCTTGGATTTAGAAATATGTGCTATATTCGGAATGAGCAGCCCCTAATACCTTGAAAACGACACCCAACTTGCCATTATTCGAAAAATCGTGCCCGCCATCTTGGATTTAGAAATTAGTGCCATGTTCTTAATGAGCACCCCCAAATACCTCGAAAACGACACCCAACTTGCTATTATATGAAAAGCCATGTTCGCTATCTTGGATTTAGAAATAAGTGCTATATTCCTAATGAGTACCCCCAATACCTCGAAAATGATACCCATATTGCATTTATTTCAAAAGTCGTGTCCGCCATCTTGGATTTAGAAATAAATGCCATATTCGTGATGAGCACCTCGAATACCTCGAAAACGATTCCCATATTGCATTTATTCGAAAAGACGTGTCCGCCATCTTGGATTTAGAAATGAGAAAAGTCGTGTCCTCCTTCGTGTATTCAGATATAAATGCCATTTCCATAAGGGTTACCAAAAATAAATTTTTGAAAATTCCTGTCACTTGACGTTGTCGATCAACAGTAACGATCGACAAAATCGAGCATATCTGTAGGCACCTCTAACTTAACGATGAGTTAAGCAAGATACAATTTCCCCACTTTTGAGGGAAATGTTATTCCATGGCATCATTATTTATACTATATTTGTGTGCGTGCCGACGAGCGTAAATACAAGTTGCTTACGCCTACATGAATTTGATTTTTGCCTCACTTGTGACAGTTCGTTTTTTATGAAACTAGCATTCTATGCGTTATTATTCTAAGATTCAGATATACACGTAAGTACTGTGCTATCAGTGCCATTAAAACGTCGCCGAATACCAGATAGAAATCAGAACCGTTGCCTGATAAACTTCAAACCTTCTTGAAAAGTCATTTATCCCCTAGTTTGCCACCCTTAAAGGTGGAATTATTCAAATTTAAATTTGACCACTACCGAGGTACTCTCTTTCCAACAAAAAAAAGAATCATAAAATCGGTTCACAAAACCCGGAGTTATTCCGTAACATACATAAAAAAAACATACCGTCGAATTGAGAACCTCCTCCTTTTTTGAATTTAAAAAAAATTTCGGTTAATAAAATGTTGACGACCTCAATGGGCAGCGGTTAGTACTGCAGGCGCTAAATGAGGAGGTGGGGTTCGATTCACGGTGGGATCCATTTCGGAAATGACTTTTTTATTGTTTCCAATCTGATTGTTTTAAGTAGGGCCCGAAAGTAAATTCCGTTGCTATGGTATTAAATGCACATCTAAGAACACTAAACATTTTAGTTATTTACACGCACAATTGTTTCCTTTTATAGACTTATGGGTTCATTGCTCTTAATTAACACGTTTCTCAAAAACAAAACGAACTCTGAGACATTCGTTTGGATTCCATCCTTGAGGAGCGACCAGACCCGTGGTAAGAACATTTTTATTTGGCCGATCATAAAACAACATCGCATCGTTCATACAATAAAATGTAGTATAATGGGCGGGCACCGATTAAAAAGTATAGACATCAGAACGCATAATAAATGTCAGTGTGATATTTAATAAACTGGATCGCGAACAAATTTTGCTCTATATGAGGACGAAACTGGTCCACTTCCTTACGAAAAGGTTAGGCATATGTAGGTTGCTTTCAGATATACTAAAGGCGGCTTCCCAAGGCCCGTGCTACGTTTCTTGAAAA